GAATTTTCTCGCTCGTAAGGATTTTTCAATGTTTTTATATCCACATACAATATATATCGTACGTTATAACTATCGTATGATCTGCATGTCAAAACTTTCAAATATGTCACACGTCTTAGGTATCATGTATATTCAATACAACATATTATTCATGAATATATTTCGTACACGATTTACTTTGAGGTAAGTCGCAATAACTTTCAAGTAGTTTGTCATAACGTTTATTCACTTATAGGTTTGTCATAATTCTTATACATATTATACGTCAAAGAGTTCAAAATAAATTTACGATAAGTCCTGTAAGTTATATTGTTATTGCACTTCCTTGTATATTAGGTTTCTTGTGCAGTAGGTTATAATATAGCGCTTGAGACATACATGTATTTTAAAAAAATGTGTCGTTTAAGGTATATACAAGTTATGGCAAACATGATATATTTGAATATATATGTCGTAAGAAATAGATGAACGATATAATAACGAAAGAATAAAAGTAATTGCTTACTGAATATTATGAAACTTATTTTTGATAGTTAATTTTTTAATAGCATAATATTGTTTATTAGATCCTCCTCATTTTATACCTTGGAATCAAATGACAACTCGGATGTTCATTGTATTTGAGTTCCTTTTGTATAGATCTGTTTTCCTGTTTATTCGGTTAAGTTCCAGTTTTTTTTTTTAAATTCAAACAACCAAATCGATTCATTCTGATTATTTCTATGTGAATTGGAATATGAGCATAAAAATAATAAGTTAGAATAACCATGTGCAGTTAAGACAAATTTTGTAATTTTACATTTTAAAAAAGCCTTCTCCCTTCCAGGAAATATCAAATTGAAAATTCCATTACAACGAATGTCATTCTATAGGATTCTGAGTACATAACATATATAAGTTCATATTCCAATTATCGTTTTTGTCGGTGAAATTCAGACACGGAGGTAATTTGACAATATTTCTGAATTTGGTGATATAATATAGTAGATTCCTCTCGTTGCACAATTCTTTGAATGATAGTTTATGAAGAGTTGATTGAAATTGCCGCTACCTAAAAAATCACAACAGATGATTTTACAAATTCTTCATTTGTGTTGGAAAACTAATATAAGGATTGAAGCAAAATATCCTACTGATTCTGAAGGTTTCGCCTTAAACTCTCGAGCCGATAATGTTCAACACTAAAACCTTATAGACTGCTTCCTTTAAATAATGGACCTCCGGTTTTAATCACCCCTTTTGAAACGAATTCAGGTTGATCAAGTAAAAATTTAAAGTAAATAGCATATTTTAAAACTCTTTTCACAACATTTGTATGCATACTGTCCCTTTTGTGTAATTGTGCATTGAATTTGAATATATTCAACAAAAGTGGTTAATTTGTGATAATCTGATAATCGTTTCTCTTTTGATGAGAACTCTACTGTGAACCGAATAAAGAATACAGTTCGGTTAGATTGGGGTTGCTTCAGGGGGAACTGTTTACGCCATAGTTCTTACAATGGTTTGTAAATGTTATTAAAACTTTAACTTTTAAAAAATCTAGTACCGTATGCAATTATAAAAATAGATTCAAAACGACGTGAATTGTCATTCACTATGATGGTAATCCCCCCTTTTTTTGTCTTCAGTCTGCAAAAACAGTCCTTACTAGGACAAAATATAATATGCGCAGACATGCACCGCGATAGATAGACGTCCAGTGTTCTGAAATAATGACAGTACTCTTTTATAATATTCTATAGATTATGTTTGACATTTTTAATATCATAGACCTGTTCTAAAGAAATGTATATATGAATGTCACAATCGGTACCTTGATGCAAATTTGGATCATTGAAAGTTCATTTAAACCGATATTGGAAATCATCGCAATATCTTATGAGAGTGATACCCATGGTCCAATTTAGCTTGAATCAGGTTTGCTTGTTAATGATTAAAAACATGTATCTGATCCCTGAAATGAAATACTGTACACGTGTTAGTATCGCTTTATGAATAAACCAAATGAACATATATCGATTCGGAGATAAAAACGTGATAGCTGAAGGCATGTTAGTATTGATGGTCTGAATTCCAATATTGATCCGCCACTTTACACTGTATGTTCATTAAATATGCACGTTTCCGATCGATCCAATACCTGTTCTGATGACGTAGAGCACACGATGATATTTATGATAAATTTACGCGATCAGGTTGATGAGATCTGTTCAGATCTGCTGCGTAACCAAGTTGTTTACTTTTCTGAACACCTTATTGTGTAATTCTCGAAACTGTCAAAGTACCCACTATGTTGCTTTAATAGAAACTATACTTAGATCTGGTGTCAAGGGTTATTTACTGAAATAATCCCTTTTTTCGAAAATCCAACTAAGTCTTTGAGGATTCTATTTTTGGATATGGTTTTTAAAATAATATTTTTTTATTTCAAATATTTACACACCAGTTAACGTTTAATATCAGAAATTGAAATGATTGTGTAATGAACTTAGCATTTAAAAGTAAGTCGATGCTTATTATCTTTCCTCTCAGAAAAGGTCAATATTCGTCGATATACACCTCGTTACTAAGCAACCAGCCAAACTGAACCGGCAGGCGATTATGGCAGATGGTATTAATCCAATCAATTTCTTATTATCCTCCGGAACCTCATCACGTGACACGACATTAATAAAAAATTATGCAGCAGAGAATGAGGATTATATCGCTTCTCATTGGTTGATTAGTGTTCAAATCACGTGTTGGTACGTGGACACTGATTAATATTTGCGAGAGGCGAAAAAAGTATCACGCTTAGTTGTTGGTATGGTACTAAATCTTCTCTTCAATATTAGAGAGTAAAAAAATCAATCCGTGTTCTCGGAGTTGAATTATTGATTTATTTCAGACAGTTGCAAGAATCTTAAGATTCCGCAATATCTGAAGACATAATCACTGCTGATGAGTTGAGGTTTAGACCACTACAACCTTTCATTCATTTCCTAATTCATTAACATGAGTTTTACAGAGGCAGTTGTTATATCAAGCGCTGTTTTTGACCATAAGTAGGATAATAATTGAGACAATAAATCTGTCTCTTAACTGCACTGGTTTATTTTTACGTCTTGATATTTATAGCAAGATCTTACTGAAAGGTGCCCTCTACTTTTTGCCCTGAGAGTAGTGAAGAGTCAGGTCACAAAATCATGGTTTCGGACGATTGTTCTATGTTAAGCTTACCGAAAACATTTCATAGAAACATAAATCTCATTTAAAGATTGTAAAGGTATAAAAAATCGCCTGAAATTCGTCCAGTAAAGGTTGGGCTGAAGCAGGTTGGGAAATTTATGCACTGAGAGAGTAAGTTGGCAGTGACTGAAACCACGACTCCTCCCACCTCTGCAGTGCAGAGTATTATTCAAGGTATTAATTTTGAATTATATACAGCAGATGATAAATAGACATACAATCTATATCAACTTACCCTTAAATAAGGTTAATGTATGGAAGAGAATGTGTGACAAGTTGAAAAATATTGGAACGTAAAGTCTGTTATCTGTGTATTGTGGTAATTATAGCCTTCTTATCTTTATTATCTTTAAACTGATACAATGGCGGATCTGAATACGAGTGGTCAGAAATCTATAAAAATCTTGAACTGAAAAGGTGAAATATGCAAGAAGCCTTGCCCTGTGTCCTGCACAATATGAACTTTATAAAGATGGTTTGGGTCAGTTAAATGTACTTGAATCAGTAGCCATCAATCGTACATATTATTGATTTCTTTATCTTACATATATCAGAGTACATTATGATCTACATGCACGAATGGCGCATAAATCTGCTTTCGAATTATATAGTTTTTTTTTAAGAAAATATTTTGAGTCGTACTTACTTGTCATCGCGAGTATAGGGGAAGACTAGAAGATTCCAAGAGGGGCATGAGACATTCAATTCAACTATTTCACTTATTCTGGTATTTTGCAACACCAGCCATAAATGTTTTCTATCAATTATTATCTACAGGGTAAATAAAAAAAACTCAGGACGGGAAAATGTCCACCTCAGATGGCCATGTGCTCTTAAAATTATAATTCCGACACTGTTACAGATTAGGTGCAGATTTATAAACATTTAAAGATAATATCGATTCGAACATCAATATATATTCTATTGACGATTAGTTGCAATTAAGGTTATTTCTATTTCTTTCTCGAAAGAAGGTATTATGAAAAGATAACAAATATCGTAATATTTCATCCCGTTGTTGAAGTACCCACTTTCTAATTTCCAAATAAATTTGATAATAAAACTTTGAATTGAGTTTGAATATCCGTAATTGTCTGATAGATTTTTTTTAATTGATTAAGGTATTTGTATCTCTCATCTTCTTTAATCAAATTCGTATAATATTTAGTTTTCACTTCAGATTTTTTTCTTAAAAAAAATACATAAAACATTGCCTTATTTCCTATCCAATTATCTACATATTTAGTATATCAAATGTTCTATGTTATTGTATTTCATATACCAGAAAATCTATATATCCAATATACCAGTATATTTTGTATTTCCATATTCAATATACAAGGCTTTCTATGTATTTTACCCAACAGTATTTCTATATATTCTACGAAACAGTATTTCTATATTCAATATACCAGTATTTCTATATATTTTACCCAACAGTATTTCTATATTCAATATACCAGTATTTCTATATATTCTACGAAACAGTATTTCTATATTCAATATACCAGTATTTCTATATATTTTACCTAACATTATTTCTATATTCAATATACCAGTATTTCTATATATTCTACGAAACAGTATTTCTATATTCAATATACCAGTATTTCTATATATTTTACGGAACAGTATTTCTATATTCAATATACCAGTATTTCTATATATTCTACGAAACGGTTTTTCTATATTCAATATACCAGTATATCTATATATTCTACGAAACAGTATTTCTATATTCAATATACCAGTATTTCTATATATTCTACGAAACAGTATTTCTATATTCAATATACCAGTATTTCTATATATTCTACGAAACAGTATTTCTATATTCAATATACCAGTATTTCTATATATTCTACGAAACAGTATTTCTATATTCAATATACCAGTATTTCTATATATTTTACCGAACAGTTTTTCTATATTCAATATACCAGTATTTCTATATATTTTACCGAACAGTTTTTCTATATTCAATATACCAGTATTTCTATATATTTTACCCAACAATATTTCTATATTCAATATACCAGGCTATCTATATATTCTACCAACCAGTATTTCTATATTCAATATACCAGGCTTTCTATGTATTTTACCCAACAGTATTTCTATATTCAATATACCAGTATTTCTATATATTCTACCAAACAGTATTTCTATATTAAATATACCAGTATTTCTATATATTTTACCCAAAAGTCTTTCTATATTCAATATACCAGTATTTCTATATTAAATATACCAGTATTTCTATGTATTTTACCCAACAGTATTTCTATATATTCTACCAAACAGTATTTCTATATTAAATATACCAGTATTTCTATATATTTTACCCAACAGTTTTTCTATATTCAATATACCAGTATTTCTATATATTTTACCCAACAATATTTCTATACTCTATATACCAGTATTTCTATATATTCTACCAACCAGTATTTCTATATCCAATATCCAGGCTTTCTGTATATTTTACCCGACAGTATTTCTATATTCAATATACCACGCTATCTATATATTTTACCCAACAGTATTTCTATTTTCAATATACCACGCTATCTATATATTTTACCCAACAGTATTTCTATATTCAATATACCAGGCTTTCTATCAAACAATATTTCTATATTCAATATACCAGTATTTCTATATATTTGACCTAACAGTATTTCTATATTCAATATACCAGACTTTCTATATATTTCATCGAACAGTATTTCTATATTCAATATACCAGACTTTCTATATATTTCATCGAACAGTATTTCTATATTCAATATGCCAGCATTTTTATGTTTAATATATCAGACTTTCTATTTATTTTATATATCAGACTTGCTATTTATTTTATATATCAGACTTGCTATGTAATTAATATGATAAGACTTTCTATAAATTTACAAAATCTGACGTTCAATATATCTTATATATCAGGGACTATTTATGTATTTAATATATAAGATTCCCTAGAAATATCAAAACAGAACCCTAAAAAACATGTTGTTGTAATATACCATACTTTGTATATATTCATTGAATTTAAAATAACAGACTATCTGTATCTATTTTATATACCAGACCTTCTATATATTTCATATACCGGACAATATATATATTTTCAAAACTTTCATATATTAAGAATATTCTAGACTTTCTCTTCCAGCAATTTTTTGTTGTATTTTATATATACCAGGAGCATTATTCTCAAAACTTAACAGTGATAAGAAATGCCATAATTTTGATTGGATAAAAATTAGATCTTAAATTGATTTTTAATTTGATTGACAAATCAGGTGACTGGAATACCAATATGTTATATTTACCTAATTTACTTTATTTTGTTATATAACAGTTTTTTTTACACATTTTATACATCAGCCTTTCTATACATTTCATATATCAGACTATATAGATGTTTATTATATAAGATTTTCTATACATATTTCATATACCAGACTTTCTATTATGTTTATTAAGCTTATATAAGATTTTCTACATATCATTATTATAATATACCAGACTTTCTATATATATCTTTTTAAATATATCTTACCAGACTCTCTATATATTTTATATACCAAACATGATAATAATAGTTTATTCACATATATTATAGACATTATAATATGTTTTATACACCAGCCTGTTAATGTATCTAATATAAGAGAGTTTCTATGTGCCAGACATTATAATACAAGAGTTTAGGATTTTATATAGCAGACTTTCTACACATTATACTTACCAAATATTTCATACGTCCACACCTTTACATGTAAGTTTGAGCTCTTTCCGAATATCTACCCCTGGGATTTCATTCCTGTGATTTTGTAGATTAAAAATATGTGATATATGGCAATAAAGTTTGATGATGGTAAAACGAGAATATAAAATATTGTTAATGAAATCGGTTGGAAACCTAGAACCCCGTGCAGGATCACGGAAGTAACAAGGTCGCTAACTGAGCATCATTCCAAGTTGTCTAAACTAAAGAAGAAAACGGAAGAAGGTATTACATTTTCAGTAATCAAGATCACTGGAGTTAATTAGAAAACTACAAATTATCGACTCATATGCAAGATATGTACAGATCCGCTTTATAATATATAATTCTGATTACGAACGGACTTAATGGAAGCTCTATATTATAAATGTAGGAATATTATTCTTCCACGCAGTAGGAAATGACTATAACGCGTGCCACTAGGCAATATGATGCTAATTCTAGCCACGTGCTAGGTATGTTCAAATCAGTGTGAGGTAGAAGTTTTTACTCAATTTTAATGTAGAACAGATTAACTGTGCCTGTTCTCAACACACTCATTCTGTTTTTATTGAAAAATGAGCTTTGAATTAGTGATCGTAATTGTTTTTACAGATATAAATGTATTTTGAATATCATTCATGCTATTTCGGTGAAATATCCCCAAATCATAACATTTGTTTAATGATAAATTTGTGTATTGTACTTTATTTATACGGGAAATATAGGGCATTTGGTTGCAAAATCTATTCAAAAGACTATATTGAATTTGAGTTCCAATAAAAAAAAAAGTACTGTTACAGGCACAGATCGACACTCCAGAACACCTATTACACCTGGAGACTGGTGAGTCCACATAGCATTGTATAATTAATAAATCAAATGACATGGATTCTCAAATAATACGACAACTTTAAAGGGAATGACATGAATGTCACAGCTGAAATGAGATGGTTTTCCGAAGGGAATTTAAATGGAACATTTCATGGAATATGAACAAAGAAATGAAAAGAAAGTAAATTGGACATGTCTGAGAGTAACTGGAGCCTGATTAAATTGGACTGAATAATTTCATCCTGTGAAACCCTTGGAATTACAGTATGGTAGTGTGTGGCCTCACAGACATGGAGGTGAATTTATTTCGTTTCGGTTTATTTCCATTAATTGGCTATGACGTTCCTTCCTATGATCTGATCACTAACGACTCCCCGAGTGTTCAAATCTATCTCGTTTGATTCAATATGCTCGCGTGCGCTTGGTGCCAATTCGTACATGCTAATAACTTAGGTCAAAGAAATATAAAATTTATCCTCCCTTAAAACATGTTTCTTTTCACTAAACGCGTGCAACAGATATTGACGTCATCGCCTCTGGCTGTCGACAAAATAAACACGTGCATATGACTTCTGATTGGTTAGTGCTCTGTTTCCATGGTAACGGCATTCCCAGGGGCCTATTGCTAACAGAAGAAAATGATTGTTGTAAAGTGGGTGATATTAAGAATTTATTTGTTAAGATAATGTCAAGACAGAGACTGAAAATTGATTTCTCTGCCAAACATTCAATTATACTTCTCTGTTAAACATTCAATTATATTTCTCTGTTACACATTCAATTCTATTTCTCTCCAAAACATTCACCAAAACATTCAATTCTATTTCTCTCCTAAACATTCAATTCTATTTCTCTCCTAAACATTCAATTCTATTTCTCTCCTAAACATTCACCAAAACATTCAATTCTATTTCTCTCCTAAACATTCAATTCTATTTCTCTCCTAAACATTCAATTCTATTTCTCTCCTAAACATTCAATTCTATTTCTCTCCAAAACATTCACCAAGACATTCAATTCTATTTCTCTCCTAAACATTCAATTCTATTTCTCTCCAAAACATTCACCAAAACATTCAATTCTATTTCTCTCCTAAACATTAAAATTTATAACAACAGAGGAAATAAAATACCAAATGGCGAGAGTAAATTGTACGTTTACCTTGTAGCATAGTGACCATTCACTGAAAGTTTTTGGGCTAATACACATAGGACGTTATTAAAGGGTTAACTAAATTTTTAAAACCCAAAATAGTCTGTTCTACTCTGGTCATACCCTAAACATGCACAGCTGATTTTCAGATCATGCGTTTCTTCAACCGGAAAATACCGACTAGGATTTAAAAAATGATCAATAAGTAATCAACGTTTAAATAAATCAATACCAGGGAGACTAATAAGGATACTCGTTCATGCTCTGTTGTCGGATCAATACAGACCAGATAAATAGAATAATGCGTGCCAGATTGAAGTTATCATAATGATTATTTTCTGAATGACGAAGAACCTGTGTTAGCGATTAAACAAATTCTTCTCCCCTGAATATCCGTTGATTAATCGAAGGGAATGTGTATTAACGAATATCGTCATCCTATAACACAATCTATGAAATTTAAATTCAGAAGCAATGCTATATTCTTGCAACAAAAGGTACCCAATCCGAAAGAATTATTTAGATATTTGAGTAACCGAGACCTTACTGAATGAATGGGTAACAGACTGACTGAATGGGTACAGATTGAAGGAAAGGGTAGCTGAGACACTACAAGTATGTGTTACAAAGCACCGGAATGGAAAACTGAGAAACTGACTGACAGAATAGGTTACAGAGACACTAACCAAATGAGAATGGCTAACACTAAACAGAGACACTAAATGAAAGAATGGATAACTGACTAACCGAATTGGTAGAGAGGCACAGATTGAATGAATGGGTAATTAAGACACTGATTGAGGGAATGGATAACAGAGACTCCGACGGAAGGAATGGATAACATAGACACTGAATGTGGGAATGGATAACAGAGACTCCGACGGAAGGAATGGATAAAAAGACACTGACTGAAGGAATGGATAAAAGAGACACTGACTGAAGGAATGGATAACATAGACACTGACTGAAGGAATGGATAAAAAGACACTGACTGAAGGAATGGATAAAAGAGACACTGACTGAAGGAAAGGGTAACTGACTGACCGAATTGGTACAGAGGCACAGATTCAATGAATGGATAACAGAAACTCTGACTGAAGGAATTTGTCCCCCTAGAAAAGTGGTTTGCACCCTTAATATTGTACATCCACTTTATTTTCAACAAATCTAAATGTCTACCTTGTTTTCTCCCAAATATGTGTCAGAATGCTAAAAATCAATTCATTTTGCCTACAATTTCCA